AAAAAAAAAAAAAAAAAGAGCTCAAATGTGATGGAGGCTCTGGTGTAGATATAAACCACCATTTTACAGGCTGAACTACATGGGGATGGAAGACACTGTTATAAGACACCCTGAGATACTATCAGCATCTGATTTCTTCAACAAATAAACAGCAAAAAGAGGAAAAAAGAAGGGGAAAATTTAATGTAATACGTAAGTCTTGTTCAAATTCTGATTCCATTACCGTTTTTTTTTTTTTTGAGGTGATTGAGGAGATCTGAACACTGACCAGATATTTAGTGACTTTAAGGTATGGTTTGCTTACCCAAAGAGTCCTTATCTTTCAGGGATACACACTGAAATTTTTTACAGATGAAATTATACAAAATCTACAATTTACTTCAAAATAATTTATGGGGATATGAAATAATATTGGCCATGAATTAATAATTGTTGAGGTGGGTGATGGTTACATGGTAGTTTATTATATAATTTCTCTACTTTTATCAATGTTTGAAGTTTTACATAACACATTTTTAAAGAAAGAGAGAAAACATTTTTCCTGATAAAGTGATCACCTCTTCGGCCACAGCAAAGTTTTCAGTCCTTTGCCCCTGAGTTTGCTTTAAGATATTTAGCTGTAGTCAGGGAAAGGAAAGACACAGTGGATACGTTTTTCTTAACCCACATCAATGAAACCAACATTGGGCACCCACAGTGAACAAAGAGGGTAGGTCTGTGGCAATGAATGAATGAATGAACACACGAGTAAATACATATTTCTCTAAAACCTTTCTCTATTCACAAGGCTTTCAAAGGTTAAATCCAGACTTCTATGAAAGTTCAACAAAGAGCTTCTGTTTTTTTGGTTCCTACCCTGCCAAGGCATATTTCTCAAGTTCATGTTCCATGTTAAATAAATACCCAAAGCATGCCTGACGTTCCACAAAAATACATATCACCTGCACACTTTTCTAAGTCTACATATGCTCCCAACATTGGGAGCCCCAAGAAACAGCTCTATGCAAGAATTCTGTCAGGTTTTTAAGAATTCTGAGACACCAGAGACTGTCCTGTATTCAACCAGCAGGTGGCGCTATTCCTCAATTAGGACTTCATAGCAGCTGCAGTCCTTGAAGTCATCCCCTTCTTTTTCTCCCTGCTGGGAGGGGAAAAAAAAAAAATTCCCTCTAATCCATCAGCCTGGTGTGCAGCAGTTGGGTATAGGAAGCTGTCTGAGAAACAGTTTTGTTGGTTGGGGTAGAGTAATTCAAAAGGAAAGTCATAAAAATAAGGTGGTATTTTTCAAGCACCAATCTAGACTTGAAAAGGATTTATCTTCTTAGGAAGTAAGGAGCAACTTAGGAAGTGAGGAAGGGTGTGTAACCATGTGGCACTCTTCTCCAAAATGCCACTGCTCTTGGGTGTGACGGATGCCGCAAGGTTGTCCTTACAAGCACATACACAAAGCCACCCACTAAGGTGATACAATTAACCAAGCTTGTTTTAAAATCATTAGAGATAAAGAAAAGTCTACATCAAAGCAGGAGTGTTAGTCATCATCCTGCCCTTCTAAAGCATCAAAACCAACACCTGATACTCTTGAGTCCCTAAAGAGCCCAGATTTGACTCAGCTGAAAAAACAGTGACCTCGAATAACCAGACTGCCAATCACAGGGCTAAACTACAAAGAAGAGTGAAAACTGCCCCCATTTCATCATGTGAATCAGTAAGAAGTTCTGGGTTAGGCTGCAACAGTTTTGTCTCCAGGCCAATCTTAATCCTCCTTTCCAGTCTCCCACCACTACCCTTGTTTCCTACCAAATACAAAGAAAGCAGGCTCAATGAGGTCCATGGAAGGCAATACAACTTCCAGTTCTTCCTAGGCTATGTCCAATCAAACAATAGAAAGAACCCCAAACTTCACAGACCCTACCTGGAAGTGCAAAATAATGGTCCAGATCAGGCCCAGGGTCAGCTTGGGGTTGCCATCTGTGATATCATCATTACGAATATTCACCAGTTTCACCTGAAAAAGAAAGAAAATTGTTCTCAGAGCCCTGGAGGTTTGTGTTTTGTTTTGTTTTGTTATTTACAGATTTGCATTATATAGAGAGCAAAAACCGAAGTGTTTGGTGTGCAGTTCTATGAGTTTTAATACATGCAGAGATTTACGCAACTACCACCACAATCAGGATAACAGAATAATTCTCCAAAAAGTTCCTTGTGTTGCCACATTGTAACACACGCTGTCCCTACCCTGAACTCTAGGTAACCACCAATCTGTTGCCAGTTCCTAGTTTTGCTTTTTCCAAAATGTCATATAAATGGAACCTTTTGATACTGGCTTTTTTACTCAGCATAATGCCCCTGAGATTCATCCAAGCTGTTGTACGTAAACCACTGAGTTTGTTCCTTTTTATTGCCAAGTAGTATTCCATTCTACTTAAGTATCAGTTTATTTAACCAATCACCCACAGGAGGACATCTGGATTGTTTCCAGTTTTGGGTAATTATAAATAATGTTTATGTGAGCGTAAGTTTTCATTTCTCTAGGGTGCATTCTTCTCAGTAGTGCTACCAGCCTGTATATTTAATTTCATAAGAAACTGCCAGATTGTTTTCCAGAATGCCTGGACCATTTTGAATTTTCACCAAGACAAACCTGCAAGAACATGACATGATGAGTTGCTTCTTTATTAAGTCATCAGAGCCCTGATTTTTTTTTTTTTTTTTAGGTCAAGAGAGAGATGCCTCTTCTTCTTCACTAGTCTTTGAGTCCCTGGGTAATATAAATAATTAATGCATTTGGCTGCTAACCAGAAAGGTTGACAGTTCAAGTCTACCCTGAGGGGCCTCAGAAGGCAGGCTGAAAAATCACCCATTGAAAACCCTATGGATCCCCCATGAATATAGATGCAAAAATCTTCAACAAAATCCTAGCCAACAGACTCCAACAACATATCAAAAAAATAATACATTATGACCAAGTGGGGTTCATACCAGGTATGCAACGATGATTCAACATTAGAAAAACCATCAACATCATCCATCACATAAATAAAACAAAGGAAAAGAACCACATGATCATATCAATCGATACCAAAAAGGCATTTGATAAAATCCAACACCCATTCCTGATAAAAACTCTCAGAAAAATAGGAATAGAAGGGAAATTCCTCAACATAATAAAGGGCATTTACACAAAACCAACAGCCAACATTATTCTCAATGGAGAGAGACTGAAACCATTCCCCTTGTGAACGGGAACCAGACAAGGATGCCTTCTATCACCACTTCTATTCAACACTGTATTTGAACTCCTAGACAGTGCAATAAGGCAACAAAGGGAAACTCAAAGCCATCCAAATTGGTAAGGAAGAAGTAAAACTATCCCAATTTGCTGATGATATGATCCTATACATACAAAATCCAAAAGACTCAGCAAGAAAACTATTGGAACTAATTGAGAGATTTAGCATAGTGGCAAGATACAAGATTAGGATACAAGGATACAAAAATCAGCTGGATTCCTCTACACTAGCAAAGAGACTGCTGAAAAGGAAAATAAAGAAATCAATACCATTTACAACAGCTACCAAAAAAATAAAATACTTAGGAATAAATCTTACCAGGGATACAAAAAACTATACAAAGAAAACTACAAAACACTACTTAAGAAACCATAAGAGATCTACATAAATGGAAGAACATACCATTCTCATGGATAGGAAGATTGAACATTGTGAAAATGTCGATACTAACCAAAGCAATCTATACATTCAGTTCAATCCCAATCCAGATCCCATTAACATTCTTTAAGGATATGGAAAAAACAAGCACTAATTTTATATGGAAAGGAGAAAGACCTCAGATAAGCAAAGCTCTATTGAAGAACAGAGTAGGGGGTCTCACATTCCTGGATTGCAAAACCTACTATACAGCCACAATAGTCAAAACAGCCTGGTATCAGTACAATGACAGATACACAGACCAGTTGAATAGAATTGAGAACCCAAAAATAGACCCATCAACCTGTGGTCAGCTGATCTTTGACAAAGGGCTGGAATCCATTAAATGGAGAAGAGATTGTCTCTTTAACAAATGCTTCTGGCAAAACTGGATATCCACTTGCAGAAAAATGAAACAAGATCCATACCTCACACCATACACAAAAACTAACTCCAAATGGATCAATGATTTAAATGTGAAATCTAAAACTATAAAGTTCCTCAAGGAAAAAATAGGGGCAAATTTAGGGGCCCTAATTAACAGGAGTTCTGGTGGTGTAGTGCCTAAAGCACCTGACTGCTAATCAGAAGGCTGGCGGTTCAAACCCACCAGCCACTCCTCGGAAGGAAGATGGGGCAATCTACTTTCATAGAGATACTGCCTCAGGAATCCAAGGAGGGATCGCTATGAGTCGGGTCCAACTCGACAGCATATAACAACAACAATTAATGGCATGAACAGACTGTCAAGGATAACTCAAAATGCACAAACACCAGAAGATAAACTAGATGAATGGAACCTCCATGGAAATTAAATTTTTATGTGCTTCAAAAGACTTCTCCAAAAGAGTAAAAAGAAAATGTACAGATTGGAAAAAAATATTCAGCAACAACATATCTGACAAGGGACTTCTCTCTAAAATTTATAGCAAACTCTAATATCTCAACAACAAAAAGACTAACCATCCAATTCAAAAATGGGCAATGCAAAAAATGCCACCACTGCTGTGGAGTCGGATCTGATTAGTGACCCTTCCTTGGGTTTCCAAGGCAGTATCACTACAGAGGTAGATTGCCCCACCTTCCTTCCGAGAAGTGGTTGGTGGGTTTGAACCACCAGCCTTCTGGTAAGCAGTCAAATGCCTCAGGCACTACACCACCATAGCTCCCTCAAAAATGGGCAGAAGACATAAATACACACTTCACCAAAGAGGATATTCAGGTGGCCAACAAACATATGAAGAAATGATCACGATCATTAGCCATTACAAAGATGCAAATCAAAACAATGAGATACCATCTTGCTCCAACACTAACAGAAAAGTTCAACAAGATAGAAAATAACAAATGCTGGAGAGGGTGTGGAGAGATTAGGACTCTCATACACTGCTGGTGGAACTGTAAAATGATACAACCACTGTAGAAAGCAGTATGGTGGTTCCTTAAAAAATACCATTTGATCCAGCTATCTCATTACTAAGTATATATCCTAAAGAAGTGAAAGCCAGGACAGGAACAGATACATGCACACCCATGTTCATTGCAGCACTATTTACAACAGCAAAAAGATGGAGACAATGTAGGTGCACATCAACAGAAGAATGGATAAGCAAACTATGGTATATACACACAATGGAATACTATGCAACACTAAAGAATAATGTAGAATCTGCAAAACACTGCCTAACATGAATGAACTTAAAGGACGTTATGCTGAGTGAAATTTCTTTGTTGGTTACCAGGGGTGGGAGGGGAGGGAACACTGCAAATAAATAAAGAAGGAAAAAAAAGGTAGTATAAAAAGAATAAACCTATTATTTTACCAAAAAAAGAAAGCCCTATGGAGCGCAGTTCTGTTCTGATACACACTGGGTTGCCATGAGTCAGAACTGACTTGACAGCAAACGTACTAATGCCCTGGTATCAAACACAAATCCCTCACCAGTCCTTGATCTGCTCCTGCCTCCATTTTTCCTCCTTTGATGCAGATGTCCGTACCTGTCCATGCCTCCCACCACACCATAGTTTTACTCCTAAAACTATGTGCAGACACATAGACTCTGCCCCCCACCTAAGGTGACCAATCATCCCAGTTTGCTGGGAACTGAAGCTTTTCCAGGTCAAGGAACTCTCAATGCTAAAAACAGGAGCGTTCTGGAGATAGCTGGTCACCCTACTTTTACCTCAATCCCTCTTTTAGCCTCTGCTGTCATGTCTTCGTGTGGCTCCTACTCAGTTGTGATAAGCTGTCTTTGAGCTCCCCTCCGCTTATCTCTTCAACTGAATTGAAATCTGTGTGTTAAGTAAGAACAAGTTCCATCCTCTCAGAGCCCACATTACATTGGAGCAAACAGGGAACTGACAATATAGTAATAAGTGTTTTATGAGAAGAAGTAAATTTCCGTGGGAGCACAAATAAAAAAAGCCTCCCAAGTTAATGGGAACTGTGGTAAGAATGTGGATATCACACTGATTCCAATACATATGTATACACGTTTAACTTCACCTTGACCTTCACTGTTGCCTGGCAACCCTGGCAACACCAAATATTTTCTATATAGCTTACTCTATGAAGATAAATCCTCTTACCTTCTTATTTATCTGTCTCTCCACTACAAAATATCTCTACCTCTTTCCTTCCTTCTCCCTGTATCTCAGAAGAAGAGGTAAAAGAAAAAACAAAAAAAACTTTTCAAAGGTAACCCAGCTGTGGATCCCATCCCTCAATTCATGGGCTTGATTCCATGAAATAGGAAGCAACGAGAGGAAGGATGGTGGGAATAAAACAGCCCAGATTGTGGAAGGAGCACTATACTACAAGTCAAATCTGGGTTAAGTCACTTAGCCCCTATCATTTCACCCATTTCAATCTCGGTTTCCTGATCTACAAAATGAAGAAATTGGACTAAGAGTCCTCTAAAATATCCTGCAGGCCTAATATTCTATGATACTTAACACCTTTCCTCACTCTTGTTTTCAGTTTTAACCTCTTCACTGGCTTCTCCTTCTGTATCTAAAAACATGTCATCATCTTCCTTACCTTTCTTCTTTCTCCCATCCTTTATCTAGGGCTGCTATACTCTATATACTACTACTTTATGAAAACTTTTACATCACCAATGCCTAAGAGCTGAAACCTTTTTCGAAGACCTGGTATAGCATTCAGCCTTCTGACCATGCCCTCATCTTGTTTTCTAGATGACACAGCATGTTGGTTCTCCTTCTTGGATGTGCCATCGTTTTTTTTTTTTTCTTTTTTTCATCCTCTTTGCTGGTTTACCTTTCTTCTTCACCTTGATCCCCACCTGAGGTAGGTCCACAAAGATCAGTCTTCAGCATCTTGCTCTTCTCTGTGAACACTCTCCCTTTCAGAGAGGCCACAACCTCTAAGTAAGGACTAACTACCAAATAAGTTATCCAGCCACAATACAGTTGCTTACTAGCAAGTGAAAGTCAGAACTGGGTCAGTCAGATTTAGCATTTACTGAGGGCTTATCAGGGTCACAGGGAACATCCCTAAGTAGGGCTCCAGTGCCAACGTCTCTGGCAGAATGGGCAAAGTACAGGATGGTCTTACCTGTTGCTTCTTCAGGAAGTCCAAAGCAATCTGCACATTTTGCAACCTATGAAAACGCATCCTGCCCTTCTCCCGGGGCTGCAAACAAAAAAAGAATGTTAATTTTTAGCTACACCATTTGACCCACACAGACCCCTTTCTCCTTTCATTTCAAGGACTGAAAGACCACAAAAGAATTCCACATGATTGAAGCAGGTATGGGAGCCTTGCATAAAGCACACCTTAAGAGCAAGACGTGTGTGTATCATCAAGCTCTCAGAGATCCCACATGCCTTTGCTGACCATGATGCACCCCATGAACACAAAGTACATTTTGACTACTAGCACTGAATCAGTCCTGCAGCATCTCTATAGATTCTTTTGTAGCCCCATCAGGTAGACCTGATTCTGGATGTCAGGTTAATAAGAACAAAGACTCCAGCTCTATGGCTCCTAAAATCACAGTCCAATGCTATTGTAAGGGAAGGATAGAAAACCCTTATTGTATAATGCACAGTAACAGACAGAGCCAACCTTGTTACACATCTGGCCAAAGGACCCGGAGGCTCACTCAAGCTACGGGGAATAGGAGTTACACATGCTCAATAGATTAAAAAAAAAAGGCAAAAATTAGGAAGTAATCCATTTCCCACGAAAATGAGTGTTCATGTAGGGAAGGCACATTTTACTCCAGCATGAAATATGCAGAGTAAACAAAACTTGACGGAGGCTGTTGAACATAATCTCTCAAAGAAAGTTATTCAGTCTTTGTTCCCAATCCTGCTAGTCACCCAGTTCTGGATGCCATCTGAGCCATCTCCATCTGGTGCCTCTGGCATCCTGTCCAAGGCTTGGTCAACTACTAGCTATCTGAAAGTGACTGAAGGTTGTGTGCCTGTGGTACACGCAAGGATGGCTGTCCACCTCTTGAACATTTTCTTCTGCTTACTTTCTAATGTTCCTTTTGTTTCATTCAAACTGGGAACTAAAGCATTAGTTTTACTAGATTATACCCAATTCATTTCTAAATGTCAAAATTGGTACTATTCAAAAGCTAGTGAAATAGAAAGGTAGCTCTGCTGTGGCCATCTGCAGAGAGGAAAATATGCCCAAGAACAAAATAAGCAAAAAACAACTCAATATGTGAAAAGATAAAAGGTGGAACCATCTCTCTGGGCACCCCTAACACTGCTAAGCGACATTCCCAAACTAGGATAGTGCTTGACTACTAACTCAAATGTTAGTTTCAAACCCACCCAGCAGTGCCATGGAATATAGGCCTGGTGATCTGCTTTAGTCCTGGGTGGCACAGAGAGTTTATGCTTGACTACTAACCAAATGAGGATAATCTACAGAGATGCCAACCCCTCTCTGAGCAATAGGATAACTTTCTAAATCAAAGGGTTAAGAAAAATCTTTTCAGCAAGAACCTCTTCTCAATGATCGCAACTAAACTAACTGTGAATATGGCTTAGGAAATGACCAATCCAAAAAACCTGTTCACATCGAGTCAATTCCAACTTACGGAGACTCTGTGTGTAGAAAGTGCTCCACAGAATTTTCTTGGCTATAATTTTTATGGAAGCAGACCGCCATGCCTTTCTTCTGTGGCACTAATGAGTGGGTTTAAACTACTTTAGGTTAGTGTTGTTGTTGTTGTTGTTGTTAGATGCAGTTGAGTTGATTTCAACTCACAGTGACCCCAGGTGATGGAGCAGAATTGCCCCTTAGGGTTTTCTAGGCTATAATCTTTATGAACAAATTGCCAGGTCTTTCTCCTACAGAACCATTGGGTGGATGTGAACTGCCAACTTTCTGATTAGCAGTTAGGTGCTTAACCATTGTGCCACTAGGACTCCTTACTCAAGCACAAACCATTTGTGCCACCCAGGGACCTATGGAATGACAGAGCCTGTGAAATTAAGGCTGTGAATCCAAGGCACTGGAAAGAAAGATCAGTGAGGTGAAAAGATGACTTTAAAAAGGCAAGGAATGGGGATGTCTGCTCCTTATTTCTGGAAAAAGATTATTAGGTATGATTTAGGACCTATAAGAATGAAATGCCCCTCTTACACACTCTAATCTTTAATATATCCCACCACCATCACCAAAATAAATACCCTAAAACATGCAAGTTACAGGTCTGTCCTCTACCAACAACCCCATGCAGTGAGTGGTTTACAAAACAATAGGCTGCTTTGAAAATAAATGACATGGTGAGTGATAAAGACCCGGAGGCTAGAGCTGTGGAGAGAGTACCAGTTAGTCTACAAAGTGGAGCCATGAGCAATTAACTGTCATGCTGTCAACTAAAGCCTCTAATATTCCGCAATCTGGACTCAAACAACACAGCAAGGCTACCAGAAAGCTACAGGTCTCCAGGTCTCAACAGGACTTGACACCTCCAAACACCATTATTCTTTTGGTGCCAACCACTCTCATAAGCAAAACAATTCCCACTCCAGGATTAGCTAAGAGTGGTTAAGAGGCACAATTAGTTTTAACCACTTTCACTGGGACCTACATTCCCATGTGGAAAGTGAAGAAAGCAATTGGTAACTGAGCTACCTGGAGACCTAGAGAACCTCAGACTCTCTGATGGCCCTGCAATGCCAGCTGGGGTGCTGGTAACCCCAGGAGGACCTACTACATCATCATCATCTTCCTCCTCCTGCTCCTCGCTGTTTGTATGACGCCAGGAGGGCATGCTCACCAGACGGAGGGTCTTCAGCCCTGCTGGCTCCTTTGGCCATCACCCCAGGCAAAGACACAACAGAATAACAAGAAATCCACACACAAAATGAAAGGAAATGAATGCAACATAAAACAAACAAACAAAAGAAAACCCCACCAAAGTGAAAATACCCACCCCCCTCCAAAAAGATGCAAAACCAAATCAAGATGACAGCAGATGGTTACACTAAGCATTTATGTTGAAATGTATCTTCAACTCTCCATGTTCACCCAACTCCTTCTGCTTTTATGAATTGACTAAAAGAGAAATCATGAGAATAACTGCAGAAGAGGTCAAATTGGATGGTATTTGCTGAAAAGATGCCATCTCATGGGTATCTCCATAAACACCTGTAGATTTTCAAAGATTAGGAAAAGAAACCAGCCTGGCATAGTATTAACCTGTTTTGTAAGCAATGTCACTAACAATAACACTTTCCAATATAAAATCACTACAAATTTATCAAACATACCAGCCAAATTGCTCAAAATATAACTTTATAAGCACTGAAGAATAAAATCTGGTACAGTTAAAGTAAAATTCTTTTTAATTCTGAGATTATAAATGAGGGCCATGGAAGAAATAGAATTTGCCATGTACCAAGAATTGGCTGCACTCATAAAAGCTTCTTTATGTCAAATTTTAAGCCATTACAAAAATATAAATTCTACTACAAGGCAAAAAAGTTGTGAAAACGAAACAAAGGATCCAGGAGAAGCCAAGCTCTAATCCCAGAAGAAGCCAAAATCTAATGTGCCAAATTTTGTTCTTGAAGTACAATAAACAAATGACTAAGAATTCACCAAAGGCAGTGAGTGGGCTTCATTTCACAGACTACTCAAGCTGTGCACCTCTTCAGTTCTCTCCTTCCCCAGATGTTTCCAGTATTCAACCCTGGACTTTTCTAAATGAAAATTACGCTGCCTATGATGTTAGAGCTAGAACACGAGCCACGTAGAATCAATCACCTGTTCCCATTAGGCTCAAATGCACAGAATAGGTCCATAAGTGAGGTTATTATTATCCCTCAAACAAAGATAGAAGAACTATCACTTGACAAATCAAGAGGCTCAAACAAGATTTACCTTCGGAAATGCAGGAGTTTCCTACAGCAATTTTTAATACATTTTGGGAACAGGTAGGCATATTTACTATCTAGGTAACAAGCAGTAGTGATGACCATTACCCTAGCACTCAACATGATGGACCTATTTGCCATTAAAAGAGCCACACCTGTGAGGCTACCGTTAGGAGAAGAGAGAAGCTCACCAGTTTGATGCCTGAAAGGACCTCCAGCAGAGAGATCAGGTTATGCCCATCCCGCAGATCTTCATAAAGATCATTGATGTGCTTGCGGACCTGTGAATGAAGATGGAAGACTGATTTCTATTTGCTCTTCAATTACTTTATTAGCCACACAAGAATCTCTGGTTCTAGGCAAATAAATACTCTTTCTAATACAAAGAATTTGAAACTGAAAGTAACAATAAAATTCAGGAATTTCCACACTGTCATACAATACATATGAAATGGAAACACTTACCAGTTTTTTTTTTGTTGTTGTTGGTAATGAAACCAGATCTATTATATGCTCTGGCCAACACCAAATAATATCCTAGAAAGTTCGGGCAAGGAGATGAGGAATCTTAACCATTCTAAGACTTCTCAGGAATTATTATGCACCAACATGTGATAAAGATGGCCAGTGGAGGAAAAATTATTCCAGAGTCCAAAAAGCCTTCCAGATGCTGCAAACTCCTTAGGAAAGTGCAGAACTGCCCCACAGAGTTTCCAAGACTGCAATCTTTACAGAAGCAGACTGCCAACCAATGGAGCAACTGGTGGGTTCAAACTGATGACTTTTGGGTGAGCAGCTGATCACTTAACCACTGCACCACCAGGGCTTCAATAATCCAAAGGAAAGTAAAATTCTGAGTACCCAATGTTTCATAGAGTGTACCTATAATTTAACTCCTTTCTTACCAAATATTTCTCATGGTAAATTTTAGAACTCAAAACTATCAGGGGGAAAGAACCTCACTTTGGAAAAACGTGGTCACTGTCAAACACTATGCTAAATAAATGCTTTACATGTCATCTATCTCTTCCTTACATCTATATTGTGGGTATTATTATTGAAATAATACTTCATTTTTTGTGCAATTCACAATGTATTGGCTATAGACAAGACACACTTTTAAGTTTAATCTGCATTATTCACATTTTCTCTAACACTTTAAGTCTAGACAATGAATGCAACAATACATCTAGCCCTGATTTGTAGCATTTGCTAATTTCCACAGTGTAAACAGTGCCATCAGGACCCATTACAAGCTACTGAAATAACATCTCTAAATGTGATGTTGGAAAGAAATGCACACTGCTATGTAGTATTTTCATCACAGAGATACAATAGGTATAATTAACCTCAAGAGCACAATGTTGTTGTTAGGTGCCATCAAGTCGGCTCCGACTCATAGTGACCCTATGTACAACAGAACAAAACACTGCCTGGTCCTGTTGCCAGGCTCACACAATCCTCGCTATACCTGAGCCCATCATTGCAGCCACTGTGACAATCCATCTTATTGAGGGCCTTCCCCTTTTTCGTTGACCCTCCACTTTACCAGACATGATTTCCTTCTCCAGGGAATGGTCCTTTCCGACAAGATGACCAAAGTAGGTCAAACAAAGTCTGACCATTCTTGCTTCCAAGGAGCATTCTGGCTGCACTTCTTCCAAGACAGATTTGTTAGTTCTTTTGGCAGTCCAAGGTACTTTCAAGTATCCTTTGCCAAAATCCCAACTCAAAAGCATCAACTGTTCTTCAGTGTTCCTTATTCATTGTCCAACTCTCACATACATACGAGGCAACTGAAAATACCATGGTTTGGGTGAGGCACACCTTAGTCTTCAAAGAGGTCTTTTGCAGATTTGCCCAATGAAATATGTCTTTTGATGTCCTGACTGCTGCTTCCATTGGTATTGATTGTGGAACCAAGCAATATGAAATCTTTGACAACTTCAATCTTTTTTCCATTTATCATGATGCTACTTATTAGTCCGGTTGTGAGGATTTTTGTTTTCTTTATGTTGAGATATAATCCATGCTGCAGACTGTAGTCTTTAATTTTCCCCAGGAAGTGCTTCAAGTCATCCTCACTTTCAGCAAGCAAAGTTGTGTCATTTGCATATTGCGAGTTGTTAACAAGTCTTCCTCCAATCCTGATGCCATGCTCTTCTTCGTATAATCCAGCTTCTCAGATTATTTGCTCAGCATACAGATTGAGTAAGTATGGTGAAAGGAGACAATCCTGACGCACTCCCTTCCTGATTTTAAACCATGCACTATCCTCTTGTTTTGTTCAAATGACAGCTTCCTGGTCTATGTACAGGTTCCTCATGAGCACAATTAAGTGTTCCAGAATTCCCATTCTTCTCAATGTTATCCATAATTTGTTATGATCCACACAACTGAATGCTTTTGCATAGTCAATAAAACACAAGTACACATCTTTCTGGTATTCTTTGTTTTAAGCCAAGATCCATCTGACATCAGCAATGATATCTCTTGTTCCACGTCCTCTTCTGAATCCAGCTTGCATTTCTGGAAGTTATCTGTCAATATACTGTTGCAACCATTTTTTAATTATCTTCAGCAAGAATTTACCTGCATGTGATATTAATGATATTGTTTGATAATTTCCACATTCTGTGGGATCACCTTTCTTTGGAATGGGTAAAAATATGTATCTTGTCTAGTCAGTTGGCCAGGTAGCTGTCTTCCAAATCTCTTGGCATAGACAAGTGAGTGCATCCAGTGCGGCATATCTCAATGCGTATTTCGTCGATTCCTGGAGCCTTACTCTTTGCCAATTCCTTCAGTGCAGCTTTGACTTCTTCCCTCAATACCATTGGCTCTTGATCATATGCCACTCCTGAAATGGATGAACATCAAACAATTCTTTTTGGTACAGTGACTCTGTGTATTCCTTCCATCTTCCCCTGATGTTTCCTATATCATTCAATAATTTTGCCCATAGAATCTTTCAGTATTGCATCTTGGGGCTTGAATTTTTTCTTCAGTTCTTTCAACTTGAGAAATGCCGAGTATGTTCTTCCTTTCTGGTTTTCTAACTCCAGGTCTTTGCATATTTCATTATAATAACTGACTTTGTCGTCTCGAGTTGCTCTTTGAAATCTTCTGTCAGCTTTTTTGTCTTGTCATTTCTTCCATTAGCTTTACCCACTCTTGCCCATTCAAGGGCAAGTTTCAGAGTTTCTTCTGACATCCATTTTGGTCTTTTCTTCCTTTCCCATCTTTTTAATGATTTTTTCCTTTCTTCATGGATGACGTTCTTGATACCATCCCACAGTTCCTCTGTTTTTTGGTCACTGATGTCCAAATGTATCAAATATATTTTTTAGATGGTCTCTAAATTCAGAAGGGTTGTAATCAAGATCATATTTTGGCTCTCGTGGACTTGTTTTAATTGTCTTCAGCTTCAACTTGAACTTGCATATGAGTAGACAGTAACAAGTAGTAAAATATTTAGGAAGTGATGAGTTTTGAACATTAATTGCTTTTATTTTAAATATAGTTTATTTAATTGTAAGTTTATATACAGTAAAAAAAGGAGCCCAGATGGTGCAATAGTTAAGCTCCCAAAGTGCTAACCAAAATGTCGGCAGTTCAGTCCCATGAGCTACTCTGTGGAAGAAAAACATGGCAGTTGGCTTCTGTAAAGATTATAGCCTAGAAACTCTATGGGGCAGTTCTATCCTGTCCTATAGGACTGCTATGAGTCGAAACTGACTCGAGGGCAATGGATTTTGGTTTTGGTTTTCGTTTGGTTTTTAATCTGTTTGGTTTGCAATCTGTGGCCAGAAACTCAACGGGACTGCCTTGCTCTTCCGGCTTTCACAAGTTTTCCACTTTTGACAGGGTGAAATCTTAATACTTTTCTATTACTTGTGGAAAATATTTGAGTTTTCCTTCATTGGCACATTTCTGCCTTACATTGGTTCTGACTTTCCCAAGTTTTACTATAATTTAATTTTTAATAATGAATGTGCTTAACAACCAGCTTGCAAAATTCCTGACAATTCAACATTTGGTGCTCATGAGTCCATACAAACTGGCTTAAGCACACTACTGGTCCCAAGATCCTCTGTCTCAAATGGGTCTAAGATCTCAAGCTTGGGCCTAGAACAACCATAGTAAGCCATTAACATAAATAAGCAGGTAAGGAGGACTGGAAGGGGAATGGATTTGATAAATTCAGTTTCAAATATGTTGAATTAAAAATAACAGCAAAGAAGCTACAAATGGAAACATTCCTAAAGCAGCTGAAAATAATCAGAATTCAATTTGGGTCAGCTGAGAACTTAAGTTTAGACATCATATGCACAGAGGTGCTAGCTAAAGACATGGGAAAGGTTGGGCTTTTTGTATTAGGAGCAAGAAAGAGAGCAGAGTGCTAAGGAACTGAGCCTTGGGGAATAGACAAAATTAGAAGGCAGGAGATAGAAAAGCAATCAACAAAGGACATTTAAAAAAAAATAGAGAAAGAGGTAGACAAAAAACCAAGAAACTGTAATCAAGGAAGGGATGATTGCCAGTATCAAATGCTACAGAGGTCAGGAAGCATTTTTGAATTTTACTACAAATAGGTAAGAGTGATTTTTTGTGAGAATAATTTTCAAGAGTGTGGTAGAGGTCAGATAATAAATGAATGGTAGGCGTAAAAAAAGAAAGTCACAAAACATTAAATACTTGACATGAAGCATTAACAACAGAAGAGAAAATTTGCTTTGTAAACTTTCACACAAATCACAAAGAAAAGAATAGACTGGACAACACAGTTAGGATTTATTTTTGATAGCTAAGACCTGAACACAGGAAGTAAAAATGAGGGGTATGTGTCCAATAATCATGTAAATAAGTTATAGTAGGGCTTGAGGAGCAAATCATGTCATCAACAGGATATTAAACACTAAAATATTGAAAAGAAAAAGGAAGTACTTTGAAACATAAAGTTAATTTCACATCACGACTCCAACATCTCCTTCTGAACATTCTACTTAGGTTTTAAACCCGTGTACCTCAAACTTCAACCCTCTTCCAAAAAGTTTAGATCAGAACTAGCTTATGTCTCTCAATCTTTGTCTGATTATAACAACCAATTAACTATTAAAATAAAACTATCAGAGAGATACAGACAGAGGTAATGGGAAAGGGAAGTATAGTGAGAGTTTTCTCCTGGAGAATTTTCAACAAAGAACAATATTTCTGAAGTGCATTGGGGGCACAGCTCTGCCAAGAAAATGGTATATATATATAAAAAAAAGACTAACAT